ATAAAGATGTCCAAAGAACCTGAACCCAGAAGAAGCCAGCGAGATGTTTGTTTATGCACCGCGGGGTGATCTGAGGTCTGACAGGCATGCACTGGGACTGATCTGAGGTCTGACAGGCATGCACTGGGACTGATCTGAGGTCTGACAGGCATGCACTGGGACTGATCTGAGGTCTGACAGGCATGCATTGGAACTGATCTGAGGTCTGACAGACATGCACTGGGCTGATCTGAGGTCTGACAGGCATGCACTGGGACTGATCTGAGGTCTGACAGGCATGCATTGGAACTGATCTGAGGTCTGACAGACATGCACTGGGACTGATCTGAGGTCTGACAGGCATGCACTGGGGCTGATCTGAGGTCTGACAGACGTGCACTGGGACTGATCTGAGGTCTGACAGACGTGCACTGGGGCTGATCTGAGGTCTGACAGACGTGCACTGGGACTGATCTGAGGTCTGACAGGCGTGCACTGGGACTGATCTGAGGTCTGACAGGCGTGCACTGGGACTGATCTGAGGTCTGACAGGCATGCACTGGGGCTGATATGAGGTCTGACAGGCATGCACTGGGGCTGATATGAGGTCTGACAGGCATGCACTGGGGCTAATCTGAGGTCTGACAGGCATGCACTGGGGCTGATCTGAGGTCTGACAGGCACGTTCTGGGGCTGATCTGAGGTCTGACAGGCATGCACTGGGGCTCATCTGAGGTCTGACAGGCATGCACTGGGGGCTGATCTGAGGTCTGACAGGCACGCACTGTGGGCTGATCTGAGGTCTGACAGGCATGCACTGGGACTGATCTGAGGTCTGACAGGCATGCACTGGGACTGATCTGAGGTCTGACAGGCATGCACTGGGGCTGATCTGAGGTCTGACAGGCATGCACTGGGGCTGATCTGAGGTCTGACAGGCACGCACTGGGGCTGATCTGAGGTCTGACAGGCATGCACTGGGGCTGATTTGAGGTCTGACAGGCATGTACTGTGGGACTGATCTGAGGTCTGACAGGCATGCACTGGGGCTGATCTGAGTCTTGACAGGCATGCACTGGGGCTGATCTGAGGTCTGACAGGCATGCACTGGGACTGATCTGAGGTCTGACAGGCATGCACTGGGGCTGATCTGAGGTCTGACAGACATGCACTGGGACTGATCTGAGGTCTGACAGGCATGCACTGGGACTGATCTGAGGTCTGACAGGCATGCACTGGGACTGATCTGAGGTCTGACAGGCATGCACTGGGACTGATCTGAGGTCTGACAGGCATGCACTGGGACTGATCTGAGGTCTGACAGGCATGCACTGGGACTGATCTGAGGTCTGACAAGCATGTACTGTGGGACTGATCTGAGGTCTGGGCAGGTGCACTGGGACTGATCTGAGGTCTGACAGGCATGCACTGGGACTGATCTGAGGTCTGACAGGCATGCACTGGGACTGATCTGAGGTCTGACAGGCATGCACTGGGGCTGATCTGAGGTCTGACAGACATGCACTGGGACTGATCTGAGGTCTGACAGGCATGCACTGGGACTGATCTGAGGTCTGACAGGCATGCACTGGGACTGATCTGAGGTCTGACAGGCATGTACTGGGACTGATCTGAGGTCTGACAGGCGTGCACTGGGACTGATCTGATGTCTGACAGGCATGTACTGTGGGCTGATCTGAGGTCTGACAGGCACGTACTGTGGGCTGATCTGAGGTCTGACAAGCATGTACTGTGGGACTGATCTGAGGTCTGACAGGTGTGCACTGGGACTGATCTGAGGTCTGACAGGTGCACTGGGACTGACTGACAGGCATGGGGGACTGATCTGAGGTCTGGGACTGACAGGCATGCACTGGGACTGATCTGAGGTCTGACAGGCATGCACTGGGACTGATCTGATCTGACAGGCATGCTGACACAGGCATGTACTGGGACTGATCTGAGGTCTGACAGGCATGCACTGGGACTGATCTGATGTCTGACAGGCATGTACTGTGGCTGATCTGAGGTCTGACAGGCACGTGCACTGGGACTGATCTGAGGTCTGACAGGTCACTGGGGCTGATCAGGTCTGACAGCATGCACTGGGACTGATCTGAGGTCTGAGAGGTGTGCACTGGGACTGATCTGAGGTCTGACAGGTGTGCACTGGGGTGCTGATCTGAGGTCTGACAGGCATGTCCTGGGACTGCACCTGTTAATTGATTTTTGCACTCATATCTGTACTACGAATGTCAGCTCACGTTCGTTATTTATGATATAACTTCCTATCGGCGGTACAACTCTGAGTGGAAACATTGGAAGCAGAGTCAGACTACAATGCGCTGAAGTTCTCTGACTCCCCAGCCGTCTAATATGTTGAAACACAACACACAGGAGTCTGGAAAATAAATTGCTGGACGAATATCACAAACATTCTCCCAGCTGTAACGAATTATTTGGCCTATTGTGATTGTTTCCAAAAATTATCAGCTCCATCTAGTGGCCATAACGGGATACTTTTCTGGAAAACCACAATTGCTTAATAACTCAATGTGGCCACTAGATGGAGCTGACGATCATAGGAAATAATCCTATTAGGGGATAATTTGTTACAGGGAGAATGCTTGTGAAGTCTGTCCATTGAATGTTTTATGACCCCTAAGGCCTCGTTCACACGTGCTTCCAAATGGGGCATTGAACGCGCTTTTTTTTTAAAAGCATTCTGAATGCCAATCGAAGCCCCTAAATAAAATGACATGCCGCTTTCTTGGTGTTTCAAAGCGTCCCCAAAGCCTCCATTGAAGTCTATGACAAAGCTCGCTGACATCACCTGCAGCATTTGAGGGGCTTCTATTCAGCTTTGTTTCGGAGGTATTGCAGGTACGGGATATCCCAGGATGCACTGGGAGACCAACAAGTGCACCGGAAAGACGTCATCAGTAGTCACTTTCAGTTCATGTGTCTATATTCTGGGAGTGTCTGGTGCAGGTGTCTTATCTGGGGTGCAGAGAGGAGAACCAGGAAGGTGAGACCAGACCAGGGCGGAGCAACTAGAGGACGGCACACGTGTGTATCATGGGAATGCTATAGTGGAAGATGAGCGGGGACCAGAGAGAGAGGACTGAGTGGTGGAGGATCAGCAGAGCTGGGGGAGTGGAGCAGGAGAAACTAGCAATGTCACATGTGGTGTGCTGCATGGGAGCAATATAGCGGGAGGTATGCAGGGACCAGAGCGAGAGGAGGATCAGCAAACTAGAGGACCAGCAGAGCTGGGGGTCTACTACTAGGCGGGGGATCAGCAGAGCTGGGTTTACTAATGAGCTGCGGATCTGCTGAACAGGGGAACTAATTAGCTGGGGATCTTGTGAACAGGGGAACTAATAAGCTGGGGATCTGCTGAACAGGGGAACTAATGAGCTGGGGATCTTCTGAACAGGGGAACTAATAAGCTGGGGATCTGCTGAACAGGGGAACTAATGAGCTGGGGATCTGCTGAACAGGGGTATTAATGAGCTGGGGATCTGCTGAGCAGGGGTATTAATGAGCTGGGGATCTGCTGAACAGAGGTACTAAGGAGCTGGTGATCTGCTGAACAGGGGTACTAATGAGCTGGGGATCTGCTGAACTGTGGTACTAATGAGCTGGGGATCTGCTGAACAGGGGTAGTAATGAGCTGGGGATCTGCCGAACAGGGGTACTAATGAGCTGGGGATCTGCTGAATTGTGGTACTAATGAGCTGGGGATCTTCTGAACAGGTGAACTAATAAGCTGGGGATCTGCTGAACAGGGGAACTAATGAGCTGGGGATCTGCTGAGCAGGGGTATTAATGAGCTAGGGATCTGCTGAACAGAGGTACTAAGGAGCTGGTGATCTGCTGAACAGGGGTACTAATGAGCTGGGGATCTGCTGAACTGTGGTACTAATGAGCTGGGGATCTGCTGAACAGGGGTAGTAATGAGCTGGGGATCTGCTGAACAGGGGTACTAATGAGCTGGGGATCTGCTGAACAGGGGTAGTAATGAGCTGGGGATCTGCTGAACAGGGGTAGTAATGAGCTGGGGATCTGCTGAACAGGGGTAGTAATGAGCTGGGGATCTGCTGAACAGGGGTAGTAATGAGCTGGGGATCTGCTGAACAGGGGTAGTAATGAGCTGGGGATCTGCTGAACAGGGGTAGTAATGAGCTGGGGATCTGCTGAACAGGGGTAGTAATGAGCTGGTGATCTGCTGAACAGGGGAACTAATGAGCTGAGGATCTGCTGAACAGGGGTACTATACAGCTGGGGACCTACTGAATGGAGGGACTAATGAGCTGGGGATCTGCTGAATGGGGGTAGTAATGAGCTGAGGATCTGCTAAAAAGGGGAACTAATGAGCTGAGGATCTGCTAAACAGGGGAACTAATGAGCTGGGGATCTGTTGAACGGGGGTAGTAATGAGCTGGGGATCTGTTGAACGGGGGTAGTAATGAGCTGGCTTTGATCACACCACACACAAACCGCATGTGATTGGCAGGGAATGCGGCGCGGTTCCTGTGCGAATCACATGGGATATACCACACCGCATGTATGTGAACCCGGGCTAAAAGTCGAAGCGAGTGTAAATGAGCCCTAAACGCGTCGCAGGTCGCCGATCCCGGTATAAACACATCGAATACGAAGTCAAGAAACAATTCCTGGTTTTCCAGCTTCCAGGCCGAACGTTTCTCGGGGGGGGGGGGGGGGTCTGCCCTGAGTTGGGGACACAAAGCGAAGATCAGGAAACGCGTTTCATCTTCTCAAACAATAAATCTGCCGCGTCAGCTGACGAGCGCACGCCGGCGATATCAGAGAGAAATTCAGGGGAAAGGGCGAGGTTACGCCGCGGCGGCTGCAGGAAACGGGGGATCCTAATTGAAATCTTCCCATTGATAAATCTTCGGCGTGTTTTTGTTCGTTTGCGGCGGGACGATGATGAATGTTGTATCTGGCGGCAGATTATTCCGTATTTCTCACCCGGCTTCTCTTTGTTGTTTCAGCCGACTACGAGCTCAGCCAGCTGCAAGATAAACTCCGCGAGACCGAGGAGGCCATGGAAAAAATCATCTCCCGCCTCGGACCCAACTGCGAGCGGTACGACCGCGCCCAATCAAACCTGGAGATCGATATCTTCCCGCCAAGGCAGAAAATTAACCCGGCATCAGGCCGGCCATACACGGGTTGATTTTCGAACGATTTTTCGTTTGAAAATCGGACGTTTTTTCGCTCTGTTAGCCGGGGCCGATTTTCGTGGTTCCTCCCCATTTCGTGTAAAATTCGTTAAAAAAAAACCGATTTTCGAAATCATTGTTGGCACCGTCGGATTACAGACCAATCGAAAAATCGCTCGGGATTCGACCCGTGTATGGCCTGCTCTAGATTCTCAGCCCGCAGCAGACACAACGATACATATTCACCCCGGATTCCCAATTATGACCCAATAATGTGTAACATGGGCAGGGGCGCACTGACAACTCATGGGGCCCCCGGGCAATAGGGGATCATGGGGCCCCTGTGTCCTTGCTCACACTCAAAGCACACCCAAAAAAACTATAAAAGTTACCAGGGGCATCTCATGGGGCCCCCTACTGACCCTGGGCCCTCGGGCAGTGCTTGAATGGTCAGTCCGCCCCTGAACACGGATCAGGAAGACGGAGGAACAGAACCCGTCCTTTAGCGGTCCGGAATTTGCTGTGTTTTCTGCGCGAATTCCGCACCGCGTCAGAATCGCCCCCCGATCATGCGAACCGCGGCGGGTGTGTATGTTAAGTGAACGACACCCCAAAAGCAGTCTGCAAAATGCGGTGTAGAATCGGATCCCATAGGTGTGAATACCCTGCGATCCGATTCTAGTGCGGACCCAAAAAAAGGGAAATGATCGGTCTAACAATGGAATGTTCGCCCCCTCACACAGAAACGATCGGGTCTAACAATGGAATGTTCGCCCCTCACACAGAAACGATCGGTCTAACAATGGAATGTTCGCCCCTCACACAGAAAATGGAATGTTCGCCCCTCACATCAGGCTAACAATGATCGGAATGTTCGCCCCTCACACAGAAACGATCGGTCTAACAATGGAATGTTCGCCCCTCACACAGAAACGATCGGTCTAACAATGGAATGTTCGCTGTAACACTGAGAGACAGAATACAACAACAAATTCAGCAGAAATGCGTCTAACAAATGATGACGGATCTGCATGTTCATGAGGGAAAGAAGGATTTGATCCCCTATCATTCAGCAGGATTTCTGGCTCCCAGGTGTCTCTCATACAGGTAACAAGCTGAGATTAGAAGCAGTCTCTTAAAGGGAGTGCTGCTAATCTCGTTGTGTTACCTGTATAAAAGACACCTGTCCACAGGAGCAATCAAACCATCAGATTCCAAACTCTCCACCATGGCATAGACCAAAGAGCTGTCCAAGGATATCAGGGACAAGATGGTAGACCTACACAAGGCTGGACTGGGCTACCAAACTATGGCCAAGCAGCTTGGTGAGAAGGTGACAACAGTCGGTGCAATCATTCACAAATGGAAGAAACACAAAACAAGTGTCAGTCTCCCTAGGTCTGGTGCACCATGCAAGATCTCCCCTCGTGGAGTGTCAATGATCATGAGAACAGTGAGGAATCATCCCAGAACTACACGTGAGGATCTTGTCAATGATCTCCAGGCAGCTGGGACCACAGTCACCAAGAAAACAATTGGTAACACACTACGCCGACAAGGACTGAAATCCTGCAGTGCCCGCACGGTCCCTCTGCTCAAGAAAGCCCATGTCCAGGCCCGTCTGAAGTCCACCACTGAACATCTGAATGATGCCGAGGAGGACTGGTGGGAAGTGTTGTGGTCAGAGGAGACCAAAATCCAGCTCTTTGCATCAACTCAACTCGCCGTGTTTGGAGGAGGAGGAATGCTGCCTATGACCCCAAGAACACCATCCCAACTGTGAAACATGGTGGTGGAAACATTCCGCTTTGGGGGGGGGTTCTGCTAAGGGGACAGGACAACTGCACCGCATCAAAGGACGATGGATGGGGCAATGTACCATCAAATCTTGAGTGAGAACCTTCTTCCCTCAACCAGGGCATTGAAAATGGGTGGTGGATGGGTGTTCCAGCATGACAATGACCCAAAACACACGGCCAAGGCAACAAAGGAGCGGCTCAAGAAGAAGCACATGAAGGTCCTGGAGTGGCCTAGCCAGTCTCCAGACCTTCAACCGATGGAAAATCTGTGGAGGAGCTGAAAGTTCGAGTTGCCAAACGTCAGCCACCAAACCTTAATGACTTGGAAAGGATCTGCCAAGAGGAGTGGGCCAAAATCCCTCCTGAGAGTGTGTGCGAACCTGGGGGCCAACTCCAGGAAACGTCTGACCTCTGTGATGGCCAACAAGGGATTGGCCACCAAGTACTAAGTCATGTTTTGTGAAGGGGATCAAATCCTTCTTTCCCTCATGAACATGCAGATCCATCATCATTTGTTAGACGCATTTCTGCTGAATTTGTTGTTGTATTCTGTCTCTCAGTGTTACACCGAACATTCCATTGTTAGACCGATCATTTCTGTGTGAGGGGCAAACATTCCATTGTTAGACCGATCATTTCTGTGTGAGGGGCGAACATTCCATTGTTAGACCGATCATTTCTGTGTGAGGGGCGAACATTCCATTGTTAGACCGATCATTTCTGTGTGAGGGGCGAACATTCAGCATCAGCCAGGGAGCAAATACACATTTCCTTCACTGTATAGTAGATCCTCGCCTGTCTTTGCTCTGTAGATTCAGAGACGCACTAATCTGTGGCGCTCCTCATTGCAGGGGGGATAATGTCAGCACAGATGAGGAGCAGCAGCTGCTGCAGAGGCTGAAGGAGATCACCCGAGTGATGAAGGAGGGGAAGATTCTGGAGGGGATATCGCCGGAGCAGGAAGCCGAGGAGGCCCCATACATGGAGGATTGGGAAGGTACCGGAATGTGAAATCTACGGATCCTCAACCTGACATTTCATACATATATAGATATAGCTCTGACATATACCACAGCACTGTACAGAGATCACTGAGCCAGTCCCATCAGTCTCTGTACCAGAGGAGCTTACACTCTAATGTCCCCTCCCCCACAGTCCCATCAGTCTCTGTACCAGAGGAGCTTACACTCTAATGTCCTCTCCCCCACAGTCACATCAGTCTCTGTACCAGAGGAGCTTACACTCTAATGTCCCCTCCCCCACAGTCCCATCAGTCTCTGTGCCAGAGGAGCTGACACTCTAATGTCCCCTCCCCCACGGTCCCATCAGTCTCTGCGCCAGAGGAGCTTACACTCTAATGTCCCCTCCCCCCACAGTCACATCGGTCTCTGCACCAGAGGAGCTTACACTCTAATGTCCCCTCCCCCACAGTCCCATCAGTCTCCGTACCAGAGGAGCTGACACTCTAATGTCCCCTCCCCCAGTCCCATCAGTCTCCGTACCAGAGGAGCTTACACTCTAATGTCCCCTCCCCCACAGTCCCATCAGTCTCTGTACCAGAGGAGCTTACACTCTAATGTCCCCTCCCCCACAGTCACATCAGTCTCTGTACCAGAGGAGCTGACACTCTAATGTCCCCTCCCCCACAGTCCCATCAGTCTCTGTACCAGAGGAGCTGACAATCTAATGTCCCCTCCCCCACAGTCCCATCAGTCTCTGTACCAGAGGAGCTTACACTCTAATGTCCCCTCCCCCCACAGTCCCATCAGTCTCTGTACCAGAGGAGCTGACGCTCTAATGTCCCCTCCCCCACAGTCCCATCAGTCTCTGTACCAGAGGAGCTTACGCTCTAATGTCCCCTCCCCCACAGTCCCATCAGTCTCTGTACCAGAGGAGCTTACGCTCTAATGTCCCCCCCCCCACAGTCCCATCAGTCTCTGTACAGAGGAGCTTACGCTCTAATGTCCCCTCCCCCACATTCCCATCAGTCTCTGTACAGAGGAGCTTACACTGTAATGTCCCCTCCCCCACAGTCCCATCAGTCTCTGTACCAGAGGAGCTGACACTCTAATGTCCCCTCCCCCACAGTCCCATCAGTCTCTGTACCAGAGGAGCTGACACTCTAATGTTCCCTCCCCCACAGTCCATCAGTGTCTGTACCAGAGGAGCTTACACTCTAATGTCCCCTCCCCCGCAGTCCCATCAGTGTCTGTACCAGAGGAGCTTACACTCTAATGTCCCCTCCCCCGCAGTCCCATCAGTGTCTGTACCAGAGGAGCTTACACTCTAATGTTCTCCCAACAGGTTTACTTTCAATATTTTATAACTATTATTTTTATTATGATTTATTTCTTTTTTATTTTCTTCATTTATCTTTGTTGCTATCAAGGGGGAGGGTGGGGGGGGTTAGTCACCTTGTGACATCATTGGGCAGGTTTCAGGTCCTCTTTATGGAGACATCAGGGGGGGAGGAGTGTAGTGACCCCTAACGTGACCTCTGCCCCCCCCACTACAGATGATGCTTGACTGCAGCTGCAGCCGGGGGTTCCGGTGCCCATGGCAGCCATCTTTGCCGCACGTTGCAGTAACGTCCAGATCTTTCAGCGCAGTTTTGGCGAGAAGCTCCATCTCAGTCATCCTTAGTGACCAATGTTCTTGTTTCTCACATCAACAGGTTATCCGGAGGAGACCTATCCCGTCCACGACCCCTCCGAGCGCCGGCGGAAGCACGACACCATCCTGGTCGATCGCTCCGTCTTCACGCAACCCTCCGCAGAAGAGATTGCAGAGCAGATGGAGTTTGGAGAAGAAGAGAGCCGCTTGTACGCAGAAAACGCACCGGAGGTCGGTGATAATGGACGAGTCCAATGTGAACCATGTGACCCCCCCATCTACAGCTCAGCGGTGCACCCGGAGGACAACTCGGAGACGTGGAGTGACAGCGAAGACGAGGAAGACCCAGAGGTCATCGCAGAAAACGCCGGATTCAGCACAGCCAGTGACAGCGAAGGGGATCCGTATGGAGAGGTTTCCATCCCAGACTCCACCGCAGACGCCCAGTCACCAGCCGCTCTCAATGGTCACGTTTGCGATGACACGGGAACTCTGCGAAAACGGGGCAAGAAGGGATCTGAGTATTAAATGGTCTCCTAGTCTAGAAATAGATGGAGCTCCATCATCAGTGAACCAAGCCTGCCATTGTGGATGAAGAACCAATGGCAATATGGCGACCACCGAGAGGCAAAATATCTAAAAGGGACAAATATAACTTGGTGAAGAATGACCTCAGAAATACAAACCCACCACCGAGCTCACCCATGTACCCCTTACATACGTATGCCTACGTATGACCAACAGGACATTTTGGAAGGCCAACCAATAAAATTGCCTATATTATGTATTTGTACTGAGTGGCCACATGCCAGCTAAAATCAGGCTTGCAATGGGATTGGCTGGTGAGCACGAGAAGGAGATATGTAAATGAACTCAGGGTGGACTGTTCCTATAGATCTCAGCTGTCTGTTGCCGGCACCAGATGTGACTCGCCTTACGATAAAGTCAACAGGTGGACCAGAGATGCTTACAGTACGAAAAATTCCACAAGGAGCCAACCTCGGTAGTATTCCTTCCTGGACTCCGGAAGACTTGCATTGTGTATTATAGACGTGGCCCTGGCCTGTTCTGCTGGTGTGCAACTGTAGCAATGACCCCAGAAGGAGCTGCTGGATTTTATTGGGCCTTCACCTACTAGTCGCCTGCCCTGTAACTGTACCCAGATACTCACCAACCCTCCAGAACTGGCAATCAGACTTCGGGGCCTTTAATCTTCTTCTGTAAAATGTATCAATTGAATGTCTTAAATGGAAAGAGGGTGGTGGTACAAGATACCCAAAGTAGTAGTAACAACTTCCCTCCATGTAGTAGTATCTTCTAGTATCTTTTGCCTCTGCCACAGGCTAGTATGGACTCTGTCGGCCAGACGGGTGGCAACATCTTCGGCCTCTACCATGAACCAGGTTAGCACTCGTCCGGCCTTTGTCAAAGGCTAATATGTACTCTGTAGGCCAGACGGGTGGCAATGTATAAGTATCTTCAGTCCCCGTCACACACCAGGTAAGAATTCTTTAGACCTCTCTGATAGGATAGGCCTATTGTGGACCATTAAGCCCAGTCTGGCAACAATCTGAACAGAACTTTTCTTCAGGTAAAGGGTCTAGGAGGCAAAGACTGGACCTATCTTCAGCTAACCCCTGAACAAAGCCTGGGAGGCATAAGAGCCCTCTAGAACATGGGTTCTCAAACACCAGGTCTTGGCCTGAGGCCAGGTCTCCCTACTCCCAGAAATCTAGTCGTCTGCAGATCCCCTAACTTAGCATAGTGCCTCCCAGCTCCCATAGTGCCCCCAACCTCCCATGATTGCCCTCAGTGCCCCGAAACCCCACACTATGCCCTCAGGCCCCATGAGAGCCCCCACAGTGCCCTCAAACCTCTCACAGTGCCTCATCCTTCCACAATGCCCTCAAGCCTTCTGCAGAGCTTCCAGGTCTAGGTGGCAAAGACTGGACTTATCTTCAGCTACACCCTAAATAAAGCCTGGGAGGCAGAAGAGCCCTCGAGAACATGGGTTCTCAACCACCTGGCCTTGGCCTGAGGCCAGGTCATGATCTCCCTACTCCCAGAAATCTAGTCGGCTGCAGATCCGCTAACTTAGTATAGTGCCTCCCAGCTCCAATAGTGCCCCCAACCTCCCATAATTGCCCTCAGTGCCCCAAAATCCCACACAATGCCCTAAGGCCCCATGAGAGCACCCAAAGTGCCCTCACACTTCTCACAGTGCCCCATCCTTCCACAATGCAATCAAGCCTTCTGCAGAGCTTCCAGGTCTAGGAGGCAAAGACTGGACTTATCTTCAGCTACACCCTGAACAAAGCCTGGGAGGCAGAAGAACCCTCGAGAACATGGGTTCTCAACCACCCTGTGCCCCCACAGTGCCCTCATACCTCTCACGATGCCCCATCCTTCCACAAGGCCCTCAGACCCCATGAGAGCCCTCATAGTGCCCCCAAACTTCTCATAGTATCCCATCTTTTCACAATGCCCTCAAGCCTTCTGCAGATCTTCCAGGTCTAGAAGGCTAGGAGGCAAAGACTGGACCTATCTTCAGCTAAACCTAAACAAAGCCTGGAAGGCAAAGGAGCCTTCTAGAACATGGGTTCTCAACCACCAGGCCTTACCCTGATGCCAGGCAATGGTCTCCTTCCTCCCAGGAATCTAGTCAGCTACAAGTCCCAGCTTCCATGATGCCCCAAACCTCCCACATTTGCCCACAGTGCCCTCAGGCCCCATGAGAGCCCTCACAGTGCCCCCTGCTTCTCATAGTGTCCCCTCTTTTCACAGTGCCTTCAAGCCTGCTGCAGAGCTTCTAGCCCTATAGCACCCCAACTTCTAACAGTGTAACACTTTGCTTGCCAACATTTCCAAGTGCCTCCTAGCCCCTGTAGTGCTCCTCCAGTCTCCCACAGTGCCCCCATCTTTCCACAGTGCCCTATCCTTCCACAGTGCCCCCAAACCTCTCACAGTGCCCCATCCTCCTACAGTGCCCTCAAGCCTGCTGCAAAGTCTCCATCCCCACCTTCCAATAAAGTCCCACTGTGCCCCCCAACCTTCCACAGTACCTCCTAGCCCTCGCAATGCTCCTCCAGTCTCACACAGTACCCCCATCCTTCCACAATGCCCCCAAACCTCTGACAGTGCCCCCATTGTCCTACAGTGCCCTCAAGCCTGCTGCAGAGTCTCCATCCCCACCTTCCAACAATGTCCCACTGTGCCCCCCAACCTTCCACAGTACCTCCTAGCCCTCGAAATGCTCCTCCAGTCTCCCACAGGGCCCCTGTTAAGCCCCCAGACACCTGAAGGGACCCAAGGACCCTCCAGAAACCTCATGTCTTACAACGTTTATAAAGTCTTCTGGACATTCCCATAGACCCTTCCAGAATCCCCTTCACCCCACAGTGACACCCAGCCCCATCCAAAGCCTTCCAACATTTCAATTTCCATTCCCATACTTTTAATGTGTGGGTATGATCTTTTTTTTTGGGAGTTTCCCCACTTTATACGTTTAACTATTTAAAAAAAAAAAAAGTGCGGAAACTTTTTGAAGAGCCCTCCTGTTTGCCAGGCCTCAGTAAGGTTTAGAACCCTTGATCTTTACAATGTTTGTCCTCTTCCCCCAGGGATCGGCCAAGGTAGAACGATTATCTATAACCACATACATTGTATCTTCTCCCTCTACCTACCGGAGAACACTTCCAGTAGCAGGCAGAAGCAATCAATGCCCTTGAGGTTAGGAGAAACCCAACGATCCCAGATAATATACTCAAAGCTCAGGTTGGCTACAGCCCAGGTGCAAATCCCTTCACACAAAACAAATACCCCCATAGAGATGGACAAGGGGAAGGATCCAAACCAGCTGAGCAGTGAATGTTTGTAAATCAAATGAATTGAACCCATTGTTATCCTAAAAAATGACAAATGTTTCCATCTACTGGGACACAGCAGCTCTTCAATCTTTATAGTAACAGTGCAGTTCTCCTTTAGTGGCAGGGCTTTTTTTCAGGAAGGAACGTGGGGCAACGCAGCTCCAGCACCTCCAGTGCTGAATGTACACTATATTGCCAAAAGTATTGGGCCCGCCCTACAAATCATGTGATTCAGGTGTTCCAATCCCCTCCATATCGTGTGATTCAGGTGTTCCAATCCCCTCCATATCATGTGATTCAGGTGTTCCAATCCCCTCCATATCATGTGATTCAGGTGTTCCAATCCCCTCCATATCATGTGATTCAGGTGTTCCAATCCCCTCCATATCATGTGTGTGTTCCAATCCCCTCCATATCATGTGATTCAGGTGTTCCAATCCCCTCCATGGACACAGGTGTATACAATCAAGCCCCTAGGCATGCAGACGGCTTCTACAAACATTGGTGAAAGAATGGGTCGCTCTCAGGAGCTCAGTGACTCCAAGCGTGGTCCCGTGATAGGTGGCCACCTGGGCAATAAGTCCATCCGTGACATTTCCTGGCTACTAAATATTCCACGCTCAACTGTTAGTGGGATTATAACAAAGTGGAAGCAACTGGGAAAAACAGCCACTCAGCCACCAAGTGGTAGGCCACATCACATGACAGGGCGGGGTCAGCGCATGCTGAAGCGCACAGTGCACAGAAGTCACCAACTGTCTGCAGAGTCAATAGCTAAAGAACTCCAAACTTGGTGTGGCCTTCAGATGAGCCCAACAACAGTGTGTAGAGAGCTTCATGGAATGGGTTCCCATGGCCGAGCAGCTGCATCCAAGCCTTCCAAGTGCAATGCAAAGTGTTGGATGCTGTGGTGTAAAGCATGCCGCCACTGGACTCTAGAGCAGTGGAGGCGTGTTCTCTAGAGGGACCAATCACGCTACTCTGTCTGGCAATCCCATGGACGTGTCTGGGTTTGGCGGTGGTCAAGAGAATGGTACTTGTCTGACTGCATTGTGCCAAGTGTAAAATTGGGAGAGGGGGGATTATGGTGTGGGGCTGTTTTTCAGGGGTTGGGCTTGGCCCCCTAGTTCCAGTGAAGGGAACTCTTAAGGCGACATTTTGGACAATTTCATGCCCCCAACTTTGTGGGAGGAGTTTGGGGATGGCCCCTTCCTGTTCCAACATGACTGCCCACCAGTGCACAAAGCAAGGTCCATAAAGACATGGAGGAGCCAGTTTGGGGTGGAGGAACTTGACTGTCCTGCACAGAGTCCTGACCTCAACCCCATAGAACACCTTTGGGATGAATTAGAGCGGAGACTGCGAGCCAGGCCTCCTCCCCCGACATCAGTGCCTGACCTGACAAATGTGCTTCTGGAAGAATGGTCCAACCTTCCCATAGACACCCTCCTAAACCTTGTGGACGGGGCCTTCCCAGAAGAGTTGAAGCTGTTATAGCTGCAAAGGGCGGGGCCAACTCAATATTGAACCCTACGGACTAAGACTGGGGGGCCATTAAAGGTCATGTGTGTGGAAAGGGCGGGGCCAACTCAATATTGAACTCTACGGACTAAGACCGGGAGGCCATTAAAGTCATGTGCGTGGAAAGGGCCCAACTAATAT